TCAGCAGGGTCCCAGGCTGCACCACGCCTTCCTTTTACTCCCTACATACCTAAAAAAGACTTTTTGTTGTCTGTAACTTGTGTTGCCAGCCTCAGCTCCGTACTTGCTTTGGCTTTCTGATTGCCTCCCTGCAAGTGCGGCCAAGTCAGTATACTCCTCCTTGGGAGCTTCCCCTGCTTCCACCGCCTGCACGCCTTCTTCTTTGCCCTTGGGCTCCCTGCATTTCCCTGTTTAGCCAAGGACGTGTTTTGGCTCCCTTCCCCCTTTTCCCTCATACTGGGAGCGTCTCCCTCTGCGCCCAAAGCGTGGTGTCCTTTAGGAGCGACCCCCCTGCCTGGACTCCCGTCTCGCCGACGCTCCTGTCCGGCAGTGCATCGCTGACTACGCTCCTGAGCACGCCGGAGTTACCCGTCCCAACGTCCAGCACTTCCACCCTACGAGTGACCTCGCCCCCCCTGCGCCGGATGGGGAGTTCGACTGATTGGTGGGCGCTGTCCCCAAGGTGACCACCAATCTGCAGCCCCCCCACCAGGCCCTCCCCCATCACCAACACCACGTCCAGTAAGGCACTGCCCTAGAGGGACCGTATCCCTCCTGCGGTAGGTGAGGGTCCTGCTCATTATGGGAGGGTTTGGGGAGACGAGGCTCCGTCTCCATGGTTACCAAGAGTCTGGGGGAGTCTAGATGCACCCCTTACATTCAGGGTCATCTTAGATTCAAGTAAATGTAGTAATTATTATTACACAGCCTCCAGGCTTGCAGCAGAGCCACTCACAACTGTATTTTCTTGAATCTAAGACTACCCTAAATGTGAGCTGCTGCTCATGCATTCAAGGCCATCTTAGAGTCAGATAAATACAGGAAGGATTCTTAGTGCACAGCCCCCAGGCCCACTTGCTTTCAAGATGAGCGTCTTGCATTCAGGGTCACCTTAGATTCGAGTAATTACAGTAGCAACCAGCTTTCGAGAAGGCCAGGGGCTGTGCAATGCTGGCGGGAGGGGATGCTTATCATTGATGTTGTTTTACCCCCCTGCCAGGTGCTGAGGATGAGACCCCAACCCCGACAGAGACCCCCGGCAGCCACCCCTACGCCTGCCCTGAGTGCAACAAAGCCTTTTTCCAGAGCTCCACACTGAGCCGCCACCAGCGGACCCACACGGGCGAGCGACCCTATGCCTGCAGCCTGTGCGGCAAGCAGTTCAGCCAGCGCGCCAACCACACCCAGCACCAACACACCCACACTGGCGCGCGCCCCTACCGCTGCGGGGACTGTGGGAAAACCTTTGCCTTCAGCTCCCGGCTTCTCCAGCACCAGCTGGTGCACACGGGCGACAGGCCCTACCGCTGCCCGGACTGCCACAAGGCCTTCAACCAGAAGTCCAACCTCAAGCAGCATCAGCGCCTGCACAGCGGGCAGAAACCACCTGCATACAAGCGCCCGGAGACTTCCCAGAAGCCCTACGGGTGCCATCAGTGTGGAAAAGCTTTCCGGGTGAGCTCGCACCTCCTCCGGCACCAAGTCACGCACACCCGGGAGCGGCCGTACACCTGCCCGGACTGCGGCCGGGGCTTCGCTCTCAGCGCTCACCTCCAGCGCCACCGTGCCGTGCACAGCGGGGAGAAGCCGTACCCCTGCCCGCAGTGCGGGAAGCGCTTTGGGCTCGGCGCCCGCCTGGACCGCCACCTCCGCACACACTCCGGGGAACGCCCCTACAAATGCGGGGACTGTGGGGCCGGCTTCGTGGACAGCTCAGCCCTCATCAAGCACCGCCACATCCACACCGGGGAAAAGCCCTACGCCTGCCCCGAGTGTGGGAAGAGCTTCGGGCGGAGCTCCTACCTGGCCACCCACCGCCGCGTGCACTCCGGGGAGAGGCCCTACCCCTGCCCGGACTGCGGGAAGGGCTTTGCCAGCAGCTCAGACCTCAGCAAGCACCGGCGGGTCCACACCGGGGAGAAGCCTTACAGCTGCGGGCTCTGCGGGAGGGCGTTCAGTCGCAGCTCCAACCTCCTGGCACACCAGAAGGTCCACCGGAGTGGGCCTGAGCCCGGGGAATGATGGGCTCAAGAGGAAGAACAGTGTTGTGGCTGGACAACCATTGGGGAGGCTGGACAGGTATAGGCAGAGGATAGACCCCATCCATCTAGAGCTGACATGGTGGATGGATCCCATCCACCTACACATCCAGCATGGCGGACAGGCCCCGTTCATCTACAGAGCCAGTACGGTGGGAAGACCCTGTACGGCCCATCCCACCCACAAAACTAAGATGGCAGACAGACCCCATCCATCTACAGGGCCGACATGGGGAATGGACCAAGTTCAACCCACCCCACCCACAAAACCAACATGGCGGATGAACCCCATCCATCTACAGATCCAACATGGTGGATGGACCCCGTCCATTTTGAGATCCAACATGACAGACGGACCCCGTTCATCTTGAGATCCAATATGGCAGACAGACCCCATCCATCTACAGATCCAACATGGCGGATAGAACCCATCCATCTTGAGATCCAACATGGCAGATGGACCCCATCCATATAAAGACCCAATATGGCGGACAGACCCCATCCATCTACAGATCCAACATGGTGTACAGACCCAATCCAGCTAGAGATCCCACATGGCGGATGGACCCCATCTATCTATAGATGCAATATGGAGGACAGACCAGTCCAGGGCTCCATGGATTGGCCCAGTCCCCAGTTGTCGTGGCAACAAGATGGCCGCCCCCTGCTCCCACCCACCTCCTCTGTCAAGCGCCTCATGGCAGTGTACAGCCCCAAGCACGGGGGAGTCTGGACCTGTTTAGAGCACAATAAAGGAACCAATCAGAATATAGGTGTCTGAGATGCACCCAGCTCTGGGTTGGAACAGCCACATATAACAGTGTATGGGGAAGGCTAAGATGCCCCCAGCACTGGGGTGAAAAGGCCACATAAAACAGAGTGTCGAGAGGGCTTTTATGTGCCCAACTCTGGGGTCAAACGGCCACATATAACAGCATATGGGGAGGGCTGCGATGCACCCAGCTCTGGTGTGGAATGGACACATAAAACACTGTGTGGGGAGGGCTGAGTTGCACCCAGCTCTGGGGTGTGATGGCCACATATAAGAGTGTATGGGAATGGCTCAGATGCACCCAGCTCTGGTGTGGAAGGATACATATAACAGTGCATGGGGAGGCCTGAGATGCAGCCAGCTCTGGGGTGGAACTGCCACATATAACAGTGCATGGGGAGTCCTGTAATGCGCCCAGCTCTGGGGTGGAATGGCCGCATATAACAGCGTATAGGGAGGGCTGAGATGCACCCAGCTCCGGGTGGAAATGCCACATATAAGAGCGTAGGGGGAGGGCTGATGTGCCCAGCTCGGGGTAAAACGGCTCTGTGGTGGAAAGCCCACATATAACAGTTTGTGGGGAGGGCTGAGATGCGCCCAGATCTGGGGTGGGATGGCCAGTTTTACTGGGGTCCCTGGGGTGAGAGCAGGGGACGCTGGGAGCCCGGAGGGCTGGGTTCTCCCCCGCACAAAGCCAACCCCACACAGGGCCCCTTTCTTTGCCGTTCTCCCCTCACCCACCACAGGCGTCCAGGCGCGGAGACCACAGTCATCCTCGGCACGCCTCCCTCCGACCGCAGACCCCGCTGGCCCTG